ATAATGGTTTTTAACTTGTTTCACAAAAGAGTTAAGAATGGTATATCAATATTTTATTCTAGTTTTTTAAAAATCAAAATAATCACATAATCCCATAAATCTGGGAAAAGTTTAATAATGGCTGCACCATTTGCAAAGCACTTACTCAGCTCCAGGCACTGTGTTTATCCCTAATAATCCCTAATCCTTCCTTACAACAATCCTACACAATGAATAATATTATCCTTGTTTTATACATGAGTAGAAAATAATATTCTTCAATCTCTCTGAAATGTTTCAAATGCATGCTTCCATAACAAAATACAAAAATAAAGAGTAATTCCAATTACTAACAATTGTAGGATCCTAGCCCTGGTTCTGTCACTAATTAACCATGTAATCAGGAGGGACCACTTTAAGTTCCTAGGCCTCAAGTTTTACACTTGAAAACAAAGGAAAAGGTAATGCTGGGTAATAATTCCTACTCTGCCTACCTTACAATTGTTTGAAATAATATACAAGCAAAAATATTTGGTAAAGCACTGCTCAGATATACAGTACTATTTGGAAGAAAATTGTCTTTAAAGAATTTGTGGGGGAAATCATAGCTGACAATGATTAAGTAATAGTTCAAAACACAACAGGTAAAGATACTATTTTTAATTTTTCAATTGCTGCCAGAAAAGTTATTCTTTCCCAGTGAGTCACCCAATTTGAACTGTTCTGTCATGATATATCTTAAAGTACAAAAATGTTCTCCATGCCAGGCACACTGTCTAAAGTACAAAAATGTTCTCTATGCCAGGCACGGTGGCTCACGCCTATAATCCCAGCACTTTGGGAGGCCTAAGCAGGATCGCTAGAGCTCAGGAGTTCAAGCCCAGCCTGGGCAATATAGTGAGGCCTTGTTTCTATTAAAAAATTTTAAATTAACCAAGCATGCTGACACACCAGTAGTCCCAGCTACTCAGGAGGCTGAAGTGCAAGAATTGCTTGAGCCCAGGAGGTGGAAGATACAGTGAGCCAAGATCACGCCACTGAACTCCAGCCTGGGTGACAGAGTGAGACCCTGTGTCTCAAAAAAAAGAAAAAGTTTCTCTAAAGATAATACGTGATTATTATTTTAAGCCACTAAATTTTGGGATAATTTGCTATGCAGAAATATGCAAATAATACTGCACATAAGCATATTTCTTATTCATTTGTTAGAGATCTTTGTATGGTCAAAGTTTGTCCTTCAATTTGTTTTCTTATGGTTTTAGAATTTTTAAAAAATCTCTTGGCTGGGCATGGTGGCTCACACCTGTAATCTCAACACTTACGGAGGCTGAGGCAGGAGGATCACTTGAGCCCAGGAGTTTGAGACCAGCCTGGGCAACACACTGAGCCCTTGTCTCAACCAAAAAAAAAAAAATCAAAAAATTAACCCAGTGTGGTAGTGTGCACCTGTAGTCTGAACTACTTAGGAAGCTGAGGTGGGAGAATTGCCTGAACCCAGGAGGTCGAGACTGCAGTGAGCCTAGATTGTACCACTCCAGCCTAGGCAATAGAGTGAGACCCTGTCTCAAAAATAAAAATAAAAATAAAAATCTCTGAAGTCAGAAAATGCTTTCATTAATTTGAAAGTTTCCCCATTGGAAATGTATTATGATACATGAGCTGAAATTAAATTTTAGATAAATAATATGCATACACATTACTCAAATTATCAACACATGAAATCAAAGGAAAGTTTGTCTGTCTACAGGGCAGAATTTGGTTCTATGTTTACAAGTTATGGCTGGCATGTACACACAGATTGCAATATTTGTGGGCATATAACAAATAAAGGCTCTAAAATAAGGTATATGTGAAAATCAGTACAAGCGTTTCCAAGTTTCCCTCACATGCTTAGACTCTAGACCAGCCTTGGCAACCTGCTCCATTGAAGCCCAGAGAGCAAATATTTTAGGCTTTTCAGGCCATAAGATCCCTGTAACAAGTATGCAACCCTTCCCTTGTAACCACAAGCAACCAAAGACAATATGTAAATAAATGGAGATGCCTGTGTCCAAATAAGGGTTTATTACAAAAACGAAGCAACCCAGATACGGCCTGCAACAATCTCGTTTGGCTACTTTGCCCTAGACTCCCAATATTATCAGTGGATAATAGACCCCACACCCCAGATTCTCCAGCTCTATCCTGTTTTCAATGTTCATCCCTTTCCACACCATGTGGCAACACTCTTGTCCCAAATCCTCGAGGTTATTTTGAGGGCAATACAGAGGGTTCTAAAAGCAAACCGTGCTTTTTAAATTCTGTGAATCACTCTGTCCTGGAAAGCTGCTAAGCTTCAATATTTCACAACTATTTCCAGCTACAGAAAACAGAATACCCATAACTCCTTCTGCTTTCACAGAAACAGCTGAGAAAATTAGTTTGTTTCATCATTTTGTCTATAACCAGACTTTCATAGGCTATTTGGGTCAGGTAAAGTTTTGTTCTCGCTTTCCCTTGCTTAAGAAAAAAAAAAAAAAATCCATTAAAAAAGCTTCCACAGACATACTACAAACTCCATGGCTCAGTGGTTGCTTCATAATCTTTCTTGAGTCATGCACCCCTTTGAAAATCTCATGAAAGAATCAACCTTCTATCAGGAAAAAAGCCCATAAGAATTGAGTATAATTTTAAAGGGTTCATAGACCACTGACAGCCTATTCATAGACTACTGGGTGTCCAAGGACTTCAGGCTTTTCCTTATTCTCTCTCATTTTCTCCTTTTTTCTTCTTTCTTCTCAGTCCTACCCCTAATTCTGTCTCCATCACCAGTTTCTTCCCACAGCACAATGGAAAGAACTCAAAGATACCTGGGCTTGAACCTTAGCTTACTCACTTAGTTTTGGCTTCCCTGTCTTGGGGAAAGAATAACCCCAAAAAAGTACGAGTAGTGTCTGGGGAAAGCAGGCCGACTTTCTGGATCTTGCTGCCAGAATGAAAACTAAGGCCTAAGTTAGGCCTTAATTGGGTCTAAGATTATCTCTGGGGTTAACCACTGGGCCCATGTGAGCGCTCCCAACGACCCTTATATTTAAATAGTCATATTGATGCTGTATCCCAAGTTTTCTGGGAATAATCACAACTCCAAACATCTGTCCTGTAGTTACCAAAATATCCTTCTAAAGGCAAGATCATATGTTCTGATATTTGCTTTAAGGGGAAAAAAACTCATAATAAGTAAAGTCCATCTTGCTAGATAGTTCACTCTTCAGTTTTAGTTTCTTCAGAACTAGGGAACAGATTATTTTTCTATTATCTCTTACCTATATCCTTCCTTCTTTTCTTTTTTTTTTTAGAAAGGGCCTCTGTCACCCAGGGTGGAGTGCAGTGGCATGATCATGGCTCACTGCAGCCTTGACCTCCCAGGCTCAAGCAATCCTCCCACCTCAGCGTCCCAAGTAACTGAGACCACACCTGGCTAATATTTTTTTTTTTTCTTTTAAGAGATGGGGTCTCCCATGTTGCCAGGCTGGTGTTTCTTAATTTTTCAAATCTTTGGTAGAGAAAGAACCAAGGGAAGAAAATGAGTCATTCATGTATTTACTCCACAAGTATTGAGCACCTAAATGTGCTGTGTACTGTTCCAAAAGTCAAACGTCTCCACTCTGATGGGAAAAAAAAGATGGCCGGGTGCGGTGTCTCACGCCTGTAATCCAGCACTTCGGGAGGCCGAGGCGGGTGGATCACTTGAGGTCAGGAGTCTAAGACCAGCCTGACCAATGGTGAAACCTCGTCTCTACTAAAAATACAAAATTAGCCAGCTGTGGTAGTACATGCTGTAATCCCAGCTACTTGGGAGGCTGAGGCAGGAGAATCACTTAAACCCGGGAGATGGAGGTCACAGTGAGCCAAGATCGTGCCATTGCACTCCAGCCTGGGCAACAAGAGCGAAACTCCGTCTCAAAAAAAAAAAAAGAAAGAAAGAAAAGAAAAAGAAAAAGACAAAATAAATTCATAAAATGTATAGTATGTTAGGTAGCGATAAGTACTACACAAAAAGTAAAGAACAGGCCATGAACAGACACTGGGGTTTGGGGAATGAGCTGCAATTTTAAAGAGGTCAGGAAACACCTACTAAGAAGCTGACATTTGAGCAGAAGCCCAGTGACAAAGTGTATCAGACAATGTCACTGCTCCACTTAGGTCCCCTCCTTTCCCTTTTCTCCGTTTGTGGGCCATCCCTTTCCTACTATAGTGTGCTTTATTCCTAACATTCAAAACCTGCAGTTTTTCTTCAGAGGACTGCCTGGGGACAACACACAGCGCCTCCCCAGCACTGCACTTGCCCAGTCCCCCCACCATAATCCCAAAGGCAGGGAAGAAACCAGGCTGGAGTTGCTGGGCAAAACCAGAAAAAGAATGTACTGGAATCCCTTCCGAGGCCTTCGTGTATCGTACATTAATCCTTTACATGTCCCTGATGCATATATATATGTGTGTGTGTGTATATATATTTTTTTTTTTTTAATTTATTTTTTTGAGACGGAGTCTCGCTCTGTCTCCCAGGCTGGAGTGCAGTGGCGCCATCTCGGCTCACTGCAAGCTCCGCCTTCTGGGTTCATGCCATTCTCCTGCCTCAGTCTCCCCAATAGCTGGGACTACACGCGCCCGCCGCCACGCCCGGCTAATTTTGTTTTTGTAATTTTAGTAGAGACGGGATTTCACAGTGTTAGCCAGGATGGTCTCGATCTCCTGACCTCGTGATCCACCCGCCTCGGCCTCCCAAAAGTGCTGGGACTACACGCGTGAATATTTTTTAAAAAGCAATTTCACGTACATTTTCTCAAGCACCACTCAAGCTGCCTGTCCACAGGGCAGACGACCTCTCCTTTAGTCTTTCTCTTGAATATGCTCTTCAATTTCATTAATCTCTATTCATGAGTATAACAATATTGGATAAATTGGACAGAGTAGCACTTGTTCCTGGCTTTGCAGACTAGAGATGCTTCCATTCCCTGTTGGCACACTCAGGATGAGGGCTAAGGGCAGCCCAAGAATTCAGCCTCTCTCTCTAAATGTCAACTGTTTTCAAGTAACGACAGGTCAGGGGTCCCATCTGTTCATTCTCCTCCACAGTGGTCCACAATATCCGTCAGGTGTTTATGTATCCAAAGAGGAGGCTACTCACTCCATCTGGTAAACCAACATACTCATGATGTAGTGGAAAGAGCCCCGGAGTAGCACAGGGGGCTGCCTCAACACACACTTACTGAGCGTCTAACAGTGAGTGAGTCAAGTCCTTCGTAGGCACTGGCAATGGGAAGATGACCAATACAAACGGCTGAACCTTGCTTTCAAGGCCTTCATAAAGCACTGGAGATGACAAACACGGTCGGATACAAAGGGTCAGGTTCAGGACTCCAGTCATTATTATCAAAGAGCCACGGGAATACAAAGGAAGGATTACTAGCGGGGGAAGTTCCTGGAGGGCATCACAAAGAGACCTCTGAGCTGGATCTGGAAGGACAGATGGGTTTAAGCTGAAAGTGGGGACGGTCGTTCCCGCTGGCGGGAACCGAAGGAGCCAAGGCAGCTTTGGGGCGGAGACCAGGTGGCACCCGCGGCGCTGCAAGGACACACAAGCTGTTGCAAGAGGGTCAACCTCTCCGGGCCTTGGCTCAGAAACCTGGGACGATTACACCCTAAAAGCGCTTGGAAAAACTGCAAAACTCGTACTGCTTTTCGCCAAAGCTACTACCGTGCCGTGAGGGCAGGAAGCCCTGTGAGGCGTCTGCGAGGACGCAAACGCCGCGAAGCGAGTCCTCCACGCCTCCATCCCCGGCATAGTGAAGTGTAGACTCTGGCCCACAGCCGAAAGGAAAGACCCGGGTCGGGGAGGGCCCCTCCAGGGGCGGGCTCAGCCGGAGTCTGGCCGAGCTGCGCGCGGCCACAGTGGTTCCGCGGCCTCGCGCTGAGTGCCTCCCGCCGTCTCCCACTGCAGCCCCCACCGCCCCTCCGCAAGGCCCGGCGCCTCCCGCCACCTCCTCGGTCGCTGCGGCCGCTCCAGCTCCTCACAGCCGCTAAACCCAGGCCTATCCCGCGGTCGGTTCTCTTCGGCCCTCTTCGCCGTGACGAATCGGCGCCCGGCTAGGAAAGTATCCAAATTCGGAGAGTTTTGAGGAACCAATGGGGCCTGAAAAAAATCCCGGAGTGTGCTAAGCATCACCGCATCCTCACTAGAAGGTTTATTTTTCCCAAGAGGGTCGGGTGGGGCCCGGAAAAAAAAAAATTAAGAAGAGTGTGGAAAGTGCGAGTGCGGAAGCTCCGGACGCGAGGGGCGGGGCGTGCGCGGGACAAAGGGAAGCGAAGCCGGAGCTGCGGGCGCTTTTTCTGCCCGCGGGTGAGTGTTTCCAAGTGGGCCGGACCGGGTCTGTGGGGGCAAGTCGTGGTGTCCCCGCTTGGCTGAACTCCGAGTTCCCGGGGGTTGCTGGGGTTCAGGCTTGGCCGTGGGGCCACAGCCGGGAGCCGGTTGCGGCCTCCTTGAGGCCTAGCAGAGCAAGGGTTGGAAGGGAGTCCCATCTGGGGCCCCCTCCTTGGAGGCAAGGCCGGTCACCCGAAATTGGTCAAAGCACCTGTGCATACCCCGTTTTAGGGGAGTTGCTAGTAAAGTACGTTCTCCAAGACAATGAGAGCGACCTCAGGAAGCCCGCGGGCGAGGCAAGTCCGTGGTTCTCACCCCCAGGAATAAGGTTCCCCCATTGGTTCAGGCAGCGACCTGAGGACTCAAGATGTGGCTTATGGAGACGAGCAGCGCTCTGAAATAGTTTGGCCTGGATTTGAAACCCAACTCTGGCACTTCCTGGCTGCATATGGCTTCAGACAAGTTGTTTAGACTCTCCGAGACTCCCTTGTTTCATCTGTAAAATGGGGATAGCTGTACATATCAAGTACTTGTGACTGTTAAGCGAAATAGGGTCATAAGCCTACCCCGTATAAAGTATTTCTTGAACAAATATTTATCGGGTATTTATTTTTATGCCAGGCACCAAGGATGGATCCAACGGTGGACAAATGTACAAGCCCACTCTTAAATTTTATGTTCTAGCAAAGGAGAACCATAATTTTAAAGTATTAACAATGAAGTATAACGTACAGGGAGCTTATGGCAGTTGTCAGGGTCCCCTGCAGCGAGGCCTGCTGGATGTTGACAGCTCCCTTAATGTGAGCAGAAAGAAAATCTACACCAGAGTCAAAGGTTTCTGACTGTTCTTTAAGAGGGAAGGACTCAGGTTGGACCATTGAGAAAATGAACTGTTTCTTTCCACACCGGGACTCATTCCTTACGCTCCAGGGAATTTCCTTAAAATGAGTAATAGAAGTGAAAAATCGGATCTATTCCACATAACTTTGGATGCAAATACCTCCAATAGTCATAGAAGTTTATTTGCCTTCTTTCTAAAGATGAATTTTTGTCTTTTTGTACCTCACTATTTGTGATGTATGTTGATGTAAAGAACAAGCTCACATGTGCCTGATTATGTTGTGAGCTGGTAATACTAGGAAAAAATTTCCTAAGAATTGAGCTGGGTCCTGCCATGGTCCCTGTTTCCAAGTAGCATACAATCTAGCCATATTGACAAGTTAAAAAAAGTTATAATAATACCATAGATCTGTATAAACTGTATAGGAATACAGATGGGGGAGCAATTAATTCTGCCCAGGTAATGTATCAAGAAAGTTCCATTGAGGAGAAAAATTTTGAAATGGCCCGTGAAGGGTGAATAAGAATTTTTCAGGTAGACTCTCAAAATTTATTCCCAGCATTTATGAAGCTATTTACCACTCTTAAGAGAATGCGAAGTTCATTGTCATACCAATTACCTTTTGCACTGCTTCCAGGAATAAAATGCTGCCCAATTTTAATAAAAATTGTTATCCCAAAAACATGGTACAGTTGCTGATCAAGGAGCTGTCAGTATCTGGTAGGCCTTGTTGGGTTGGACTCTAATACATCACTTTGTATTCTCATCCTTGTATCAGTCCGATGAAATGTTTACATGGCGTCAGCAAAATGTTTTCCATACAAGAGGTAGCTTAGTATCCCAAGAAAAAACCTGAAAGTACATTTCTAAATATCCCCAGTACTTTATTTTAGTCATTTAATTCTAATCAACCAAATCTCCTATAAGAACTAGTTAAAATATGCAAAAGGCTTAATTACTAGGAATTAAGGTGAAGTAATTTTACTCAGAAATACCAATTAAATAACCCTATTCATTAGGAAAACATTCTCGTATGCTTGCTGAGTTTTGATTCTCTTTTTTTTTCCTTTTTTTTTTATTTTAGTGTCTCAGATTCATTCTTAAGGAACTGAGAACTTAATCTTCCAAAATGTCAAGTAAGTTTCAATTTTTATATTTATCGATCTATGTTAATAAGAGACTAATGCCCTAGCAAGTGGGAATTCCAAAATACTCTCATTTTTTTTTCTTCAAAACAGGACCATTGGTAGTTTTGTTGCATAGTATTATATCTCAGTTGTTTACAAGAAGTTATTTATTTTCTTTCAAACAGAAAGACCATCTTATGCCCCACCTCCCACCCCAGCTCCTGCAACAGTAAGTTTTAATTTTCTTGTTAATGTAATAGCCAAGTCTGGCCTTGATACAAAAACCCAGATGTCTTCCAGTGACAGTCACTCAATCATCACAGCAACAGGATGAAATTCAGCTTAAAAGAAAAAAAAAAAAAAAAAGCATTTCCTACTAAATAAAATAATTATTTGCATCTTTCCTTGAACCAACCCCAACATTTAAAGACACAATACTGTAAAACTCCAACCTCCTATGCTCAGTTTGTTTTGTTTTTTTCTTTGTAAATGGGAAATAAGTGAAAGTTTTACCATTTCTTTCTTATTAATCTTCACTATTAAGAGTCTTTAAGTTGTTACTGAATGAATGCTCATTCTGGCTTTTTTGTTAAACCTAACCTTCAACTGGTTATGTTTTTCTCTCCTTTCTTGTCTCTCTATAAAATTTTCATATTAAACAATAAAGCTTCTGAAACTATACTCATTGTAAGTATTTTCAAGCTGTTCAAGTAAAGATTTCGTTATCTATGGGTCAGATCTTGCTATTGAATCTTTTTCCACTCCATAAATTATATTTTATTGGTTTGGAAGTATGTATGTTTTGAGGTATTTAAAAAGTAGTTGTGAACATGTTTTTCATCCAGCAAGCTCTGGCCCAGCTTGGTCAGCATGTAAAATAATTTTCCAACCTACAAAACAGATTTAGCAGTAACTGTTCAGGTCTTGCTGAAATGGCTTCCTTGTTGGTTTTTTGGGAGGGGGGTTTTGTTTGTTTTTTTAAAAACACTGTTAACATGACCAAATTCTACAAAATTAGTTCTTTAATATTAATCCTTCCTTCCATACCCCCTACCACCTAAATTTCAGGCTAGTCTACTTTTCACTACTAATTAGGTCCTTGTGTAATTTTGTTTTCTCCGCTAGAAAACTATTCATATTTACTAACCCTCAGATATATATTTTAGTTACATTTATCAACAATTTGTTTTTCTTTAGTGAGATACTTTTAAAAAGAGATACTGTACCATATGTTCTCATTTCAATTTATATTATATGCAGGCTCTAAAGTTAATTCCAGTAGACCGTAAAGTCCTGTGCTTGGTTTCTTTTCTTTCTTAAATCAAAGAACATTTGTTATGACCGTCTCCATGGCATTCCGCTAGTGGCTATACAGGTGGAGCTGAACAATTGAGATTCTGACCTCAAAGAGCTAACCATGTACTTCAGCTTTGGAAATGGTATAATTATAATGTTTTGCTTTCCATTTTTTTTTTTAGTTCCCTTATTTTTATAACATTATTGCCTCATAATGTTGAACAGTGATTCTTATTATTTATGCAAACTTTGAAGGTGTCATTTTGACATAAATACTGCCTCTGACAATGTATCATATCTTGAGGACAAACTTGATTTTTTGAGATTAAAATATTTCAAAAATGAAGTGTCCCCTTATAACTTACTATGCGTAAAAAGGATTTTTTTTTTTGCCTTTCTTTAGTTATATTTTTGTGCCATTATAATTTCACGTTAACACACAAAATATAGAAAACTAGGGATTAAAACATCCAACAGAATGGATACTAAATTAATTATTCTCCTTCCTTCTTTCCATTACTCCTACCACCACCACCATCACCGCCACTACCAACACTATCACCACTATCACCTCCGCCACCCAAATGTACCACTCCAAGTAATATACACTTCTTTCATGCCTTTGATACTTCGTCTGTGTTTTGCCTACTTAAATATGCTTAATTTGCGTCTTTTCTAACTGTATAGACTAGAAATTGATCAGCCGTTCTCTTTTCTCCTAAAGAGTATCAAATGTAATATCTGCTTAAATGTCTTTCTTTTGGGTACTAAGGATATGTGCAGCGGCATGTTTTAGGAAATTGTGTTTATTTTGTAACAGCTACAGCTTAGTTGGAATGTGTTAAGTGTATTTTACATTATACAATTAAGGACCGATATTGTTAATTGCATGTAAAAATGAAATTGTCACATATTTTGATTGAGCTTTACAAGGTAAAATACCCGAATTTTGGTCTCTCTCTGCTATATTCTTTCTATACATTATGCCTTGGTTCTCATGAACATTGAGTGTCATTGTATTAGCCCCAAGGCCACTGCTATATAAGAGCCCATTTGTGATTACATCAACACATAATTCACAAAAACCAAGAGTTCTGTTGCTGAAATGAGCAGTTGTGTTTTGAAAGGGTGAGAGCTATCAGGAAACTAGATGAAAAAAGAAAATTCAAGTCTATCAACTAGAAAAGTAGTTCACATTGAGACTAAATGCAGAAATGTTTTCATGATTGACCTGTGGAAGATGGATCAAAGAAGAGATGGAAGAGAAATCCTATAAAAGAATGACTGGGTTAAAAAGATCAGATAGTACCCCAGAATGAAATCCATGCATTTCTTACAAGTCTTTGTTTTAAATCATGTATGTGACATCCATCAAATCCAGCATATGTTCTTTTCAATTGACAAATCCTGGCTTCCCGATTTGAGTCTCTTCTCATTTCTCACATTATATAAAATGATTTAAAACTGTCTTTGAAATCAGATCCATTTCTTGTTTTTGTTTTTAGTAGATGAATACATTGGTGGCATCCACATGTCAAATAAATTGTGTTTTGTTTTGCATGTAGTGTTTTCAGAGTTCTAGTTTATCACACTTTAAGCCTTCCTATCTCAGTCTTCATATATTGCTAAGTTGCTATATCCTGTTGTTGACCATAAAGTAAATCCTAAATGTTTTAAACACTTCAGTGTATTGCTTTCCTCCAGAAACACAACACACATTCACAGTCACACAAACACCCCCAGTCCCTGCAAAAAAGAAAGAGAAAAACAACCAAAAGACACTGCAGACAGGTTTCTCAATGAAAGAAAAAGATTTAATTTCCTCAGTGGAAAAAAAGAACAATTACAACACATCATTTGCTTGTTTAAATTCAGGTTGCTTTTGCATGCCATATGCAGATCATTTTTCATTTCTGTGTTTTCCTCGTTTGAGCTCATTTCTCATTCGTGTTTTTGTCTCATTTGTTTCCATCAGCAAATGCCCAGCACACCAGGGTTTGTGGGATACAATCCATACAGTCATCTCGCCTACAACAACTACAGGCTGGGAGGGAACCCGGGCACCAACAGCCGGGTCACGGTAGGAGAATCAACTATTACAGCATCCGGCAAACAACTGGAATTGACCAGAAATGCCTTCAGAATTAGGTCTTTTTGAATCATAAGCACAGCCATTTAAAAAAATTTTTTTAACCTAGCTTTTTGACTATTTTCAACATTCATTGTAGCATCTCACACTGAAAAAATAAATAGTGAGATCTGGAATGTATATGGAAGAAAAGAAAAATCCATTCTGTTTGGTGGTTGGTAGGGATAAAGCCTTGAGCACTTGATGCTTATACTGTATGTAAACAAACAGAATTTCTTCTGGTAAAAATACCCTTTTTGGCATAAAGAGTATTTTTCGTTTTTATAAGGTGATTGGCATTAGTGTCAAGGATTCAGTTTCTAGTAAAGGCTGGGCTTTCAGACCTGGCTTTTTCAGGGCTGGAACGCTTTTGACTGGTATACCAGTTTGAATCCCTACCCATAGTTATTTGTCTTTTGGATTTAATAGTTGACCTTCTAACTGAGACTCATTGCTCTACAGTGAAAAAGAGAAAAACGTTTTAATGTCACCTCAAAGAAATGCAGAATGAAGATTGAATGAAATTAATTTGAAGTATCAAACTAGATACGTACAACGAGAAGTGCATTTCTAATCCTTAGTATAAGAGATACGATTTCTGAAACTTAGGATGTTTCATTTAAATGATCAGCCTAAGATTTCAAAATTAGAATCATCTTAAATTTCATTCAAAAAAGTTTAAGTGCCAAAAAAGCCAATAATTATAAAAATGACTTACTAAAGATAAAAAATCCAAAAGTCAAATACTACATTGGAATGTAGTGTTGCTGAGAATTTATACAACCCAGAATGGCTGTAAAGTTTTTAATATCTGGTTTTTGTTTGCTGTATTCATAAATAACAAGTGCCTTCTATTAATGTAACTTCAAAAAAGCCCTCTCACCCTGTAGTCAAGCTAGAACTGAAAGTTTGTAGCTATCAAATGAATGTCTATCTTGATAAGCATATTGCTTAGCTTGATAGGTTTTGTTTGTCTAAATTTTTCATTGTTTCTGCATAATTTGTACTTCATAAGCATATCAAGTTTTATGTGCCATGCATATTTCATGGTATCTGAAAAGAATTCTGACAAAGTGTGTGTATGTATGCATTTCACAATGCATACAATTTTTATGTGCATCAATACATGTTTTTCCCTGGCCTAAACGTGTTGTTTCACAAGTGTAATGGGTGGCAAGGTTTGCAGATGATAAAGAACATTTTAATTTAAACAATGAACAGAATCAATCTTGGATCTTCATGTTAATGCAGAAATTTTTTCACGGGCAGTAAACAAGAATGATTGCATTTAATAGCTCTATACAGTCACCTCTTGATTATCTATGTTAATGGAATACAAATGGTAACTATAATATTACAATAATTTGTCTTTTGGTTTTGTGTAAGCATTTTGTTCTTAACTTGGATGTAGCTGTGGGGGATTCTCTGTTAAAAATGTGAGATTGTTCGATGGAGACTAGGAAGAGAAAGTGCACTCCCTATCTGAAATCACTCATCTGTTTCTTCTCATTCCTTCTTGGCGAATGTTAAGAACTGAGCATTTGGCGTGGACACTAGCTACATGGTAGATGAAGTATAGAGAGGTGTGGGGCATGGAAAATTTGGTGTTTTGGTCCTTTGTAGAAATTTACTTTGTATTATTGTCCTCTTAACACCAGGTTGAAGTGTAATCAAACTGCTATATGAAGAAGGGCCTAGAAAATGTGGAGGTTTTACACTACTTGCCCTGTTTTCTATATCTAGTTTAAGCTGTTAGGACTCAGTGGCTCTGATTTTGACCATAATAAAAGCATTTTGATTTTCGTAAAAGCATTGTGACCCTAGTTATGCATTACTTTTGGGGGTGAGGAGAAGCTCCCATTTGGTATTTTGTGTGCATATTGTGTTAGTGGCTTTCATGAGTCTGTGAAGCCCTGTCCAGTAGCTTCTGGTAGGCTGTAGAGAACATTGGGTTTCCCTGGTGACTCCGGTATACTTGGATAGTTCTCAGACAGTAAATACTTTATATAGCATGTCAAGACCTTTTGGAGTGCTTATGATAGCTACAAGATGGAATTCATTCCTAGTCAGTTCTTCATTCAGATGATGGTTAGCATTCTCTTAAGTATAGGTGTGAAAACACATTGAGACAAAAATGTCTTTAAAAACAGCCTGTTTCTGTACATTAATAGAAATTCTGTCCCAGAAGAAAGCTCTTAAATAAGTTCCTGCTAGAGAAACAGCTGAGAATTACAAAAGAAACAACAACAAAAAACTGAGTAGCCAAGATAAATTTCACAAAATCATGAATTTTATTCATAGGCGATTTCCTAAGACCTTGCTCTTCTGTAAGCCCAGTTCTACCCACCTCTCCGTTGGAAATTGAAAGCAGAAAATTGAAAAGGGAGTTGCTGCTAGAGGTGGATTTCCTGATAGTAGCAAGGAAAGAAACAGTTCAAAAATGGAAACACATTCTCCAAAAGCATAGCCATAGGCCACTGAAAGAGCCAACAACAGATTTTCGCATTTCACACACCCGACAGAGGGTTACAGCACAGCAAAACAGTGGTTGTTTACAATTGAATCTTATCCAGAAAGGGTCTAAAGTATGTTCAACTTTTTTTTACAGAAATGTTTAAGACATTGTAGAAAGATGTCTGTCTGAGACATTAAATAAATTGGAGGTGTGTAATGATATAAATCTTTACTATCCTGCAAACCATCTGGAATTTTAACTTTATTATTGTTTTGGGGTGTTTTTTTAGTTTGGGTTTTTTTGTTGTAAGTTGACTGGTCTCAATATATAGATGATATGTGTACCTTTTTTGGGAGAAAGGAAGAGAAATAGCAAATCCATTAATATAAATGTGATTCTTTGAAAAATATCAAAGCAAATACTACTATGTTTTTAAAGTGTTTTAATTCATACTTAAAGCTCGAAAGCATAGGCATTTTAGAATTCTTTACCTCTTTAATTTCAAAAAAATTTTGACAGTAGTCTTAACCACCTCAATTATGGGCACAATTCCAACCTTATTTGTAACCCATTTCATGGAATTCTGAAGGTTTGTGTTGGATATGAGTTGGAAATGCTTTCTAATAACTATGTGTGAAGAAGCAGACTTTTGTGTGTCTGTTCCTCTGAATCCGTAAGGTTAGTCTTATAGGAATTCCCTTTCCCCTTAAAAGAACTTGTACAAACCCTGATACAGGTTTCCCTTTATTGGCTGCTACCCCACCACTTTTGATAGTTTCCATGCCCCCTGGCCATCTCACTCTCTTACCCACTGCTGGCCAAAAACAGTGTCTGTCTACCTGGGCACTAGCATGAGGTGTAGTAAGAATGCATGGAAGGAATGGAAAGAGAGGAAATACTGCTTCCAAGGCGAAATGCTTTCTAATAACTTCATATATGAAGAAGTAGAGTTACAGGGATGGAGAGAGACCCTTGTAGGAAGAGGAAACATTTCTTGATCATAGTGGAAAAGGACACAAACATGCTAATCCCTGAGCCCTCAAATGAAAAATAAGGTTATGATTGGGGTCCCAGCCCAGAGTGGAGGAGTATCTCTGGGGTTTTATCATAGCAACAACAGAAGGGGAAGCGAACAAAATGTTACTTTAGTTTTCTTATAAGGATTTGCCAATCCTGTCTTTTGATAATTAGAATAAAGCCAGCACTTCATTTCTCCAGCCTAGCAGGGAGAGTCAGTATCAGAGGAGATCTCCTGAAAATTTGCAAATTGTCTGAAATAGCAATGATTTTTCTTATTCTGGGTCTTTAATCAAATGCAGTCATGTATATTAAGAGGAGACTAAAAAGTTCAGAAATAAATACTTTTAGATGGGTGTTATCTGGGTGGTCTACCAGAAGCTGTCTGGAATCTCACCTAGACTTTAGACCACAGGAAAAACTGATCACTTTATCTTTCTCTTTCCTTCTTTTTTTATTTTTTCTCTCACCTATTTTTGCTTTACCTTTTTAAAAAATATTTTTCAGTCTTCCCTCCCCCTCCTTTTCTTCTGTCTTTCTTTTCCTGCACATCACATCTTTCCTTTTCCTCTGTCTTTCCCATAAAACCAAACATTTTTAATGGAATGGAACTTCTTGATACAACACCTCAAAAATAACAATCAGGCCCCATATCTGCCACTTCTCTGTTCCGGATAAACTTGTTTGCTTTTACACTGTGATTAGGACTAAGGACACAAAAAGGTGTGACTTTCATTCACACTTCTCCTTCCCCTTTACAAGAAAACCACTAGGTAACAGACAGAACCTTAAGAGAAATAAAATCTCTAGCCTGGCAAAGGAGGTAAAGTGGTTTGTTATTTCACTAATTGTTTTTGAGCCTGAGAAGTTGTTTTTGTGGTGATATTGGGAGTACATTCCTGACATAGTGCTAATAGGTTAAGGCCCCTGTAGACAGTGTGAGAATGGTAAGTGTTAAGGGTTCAGATCCTGCTGCAGATAATCAAGTGTTGACTGTATGTGTAATGGTAATTGAGCAGAATAAGAGGGTGCCAGGTAATGTCCTGAATGTGAGACGGTTGATATATAACCATATATTTTCAATGTATGGGTTACTATGTAATATTTTATTTGTTCCTGCAGCCAGGTTGTCAAAGCATTGGCAATAAACTGCTAAGTAAAACATTTAAAAAGTTTGTGCTTAAAGTCATTTTCTTTTGAACATTTCTGAATTTGCAGTGATAGCTATTTTCAGTGGAGAAAATATTTGGACGAGTAGAAGAAAGGCGCATTAGAATTTTTTAAGGGACTCTCTTTTCAGTTTGCCGGTGAACTCCTTACAGCTGAATAATGAATGTATTTAACTCTTTTGTAGGCATCCTCTGGTATTACGATTCCAAAACCCCCAAAGCCACCAGATAAGCCGCTGATGCCCTACATGAGGTACAGCAGAAAGGTAGGCGCTTAGGACCTGGAAAGGAATGAGGACACTGTCTTTGCTGCTTCTTTCTTTGCATCCAATTTTAGATTGGCTTAGCCAGCTTTTCTGTGCATATTCAGAGGAAAGGACCAAAAAAATACAGTTTTTAAGGCAATTAGTTCTGATTTCAGAATTCCAGAACTAAAATCCAACAAGAGGAGCATGATTAAATAAACTGTTAAAATCCTTAAGATAGAATGTTCTGTGGCCATTAAAGTCATGTCTTTTGGAGAATATTTAATGACATGAGGAAAATATTAAGTGAAGGAGGACTACAAGACTACATGAATTAATATCTCATTTTTATAAAAATAATGGCAACCACATGTTCGTTTGAAGGGGGAAAACACAGAAGACAGTGGTTATCTCTAAGCAGTAAGCTTATGGTAGTTTTTATTTTCTTTTCCTCAAGTTTTCCTTTTTTTTTTTTTTTTTT